TCCAAACCCCCCTCCCGATTGAAAACAACAGCCTCACCCTCGGCCGCCAGCCCACTCCGCACGCACTCCGCACCTGAGTATTTCACTTCGGCACTGTGCCTCCTCTGAGTCTGGGTATGATATTCTCTTTACTCCTAGTTGTAGAATTTCCACTCAGCCAGCCCTCCTGTGGTTCTGGATGATGTCCGTTCCATCTTTTAGGTGTAATTTGAATTGGTTGTTCGAGGCAGCAATCTCCGGCGTTAACCTATGCCGCCATCCTGGTTCTCTCCAATTTGCATTCTTCCCCTGTTATTTTTGATGACTTGTGAGGATTGCACATTTTCTTCTGGAGCCTGGCCACCAGTGGGAGGAGATATCTGAAATGCCAAAAGAGAAAAAGATGAGTCATTTAGGTGAAGGTGCTGTAACAAAGAGATACAGCTTATAGTGGCTTGAACACCTTAGGACTCTATTCTTCTTGACCAGGTCCAGAAAGGGAGAAGGAAGGGGTGTGTGGAGGTTGGGAGGTGGGTGTGGGCTCTGCCTGGTTTTTGAAAACATAGTCTAGTGAAAGCAGTTCTGCCTTCCATAAAACTGACTTCCAAATTCTCGCGGGTCATTGTCTTTGTCACAGTCCGAAGGAGGAAGGCGCAGCAAGCTTGTGGGAATGTTTCAGCATCAGGCATTCTATTCAGAGACCTGTGCCACATGGTTCCCCACCTAACTGTACCCAACCAGAGACAGCGAGGATGTCAGCAGCTCCTATGGAGGAGGGGCCGTGAAGTCTGGTGAACAGCCAGGCTTCTCTGCCTCTCTGGCTATGAATGATCTGTTGAAACCTTTATTCCCACACTTAGAATACAAGTCTCCCCCTCTCTGCCCTCATGGGAAGTACTCTAAACTGCAGTTAATGTATCCAGCTAAGAGCCCACAATCTCAGAAGATGAAGAGTCCTTTTGTTCAAGTTAGTCTCTGGGCTGTTTGTCCCTTTGGCCCCTGATGCTGTCCTCTGGGAGGGTAGTCCTTGTTTGTGTGTCTCCAGAGCCATATCTAAAAGGTGAGTAGGTTCCCCGTGGGGGTCTTTTACAGCCTGTTTTCTACTCGTGCCAATTTGAAGGCGAAGAGGACTTAATTGAACATCCCAAAACCTTTTTAGGCCAGTTTTTTGTTCCTGTGTGTGTGTGTGTGTGTGTGTGTGTGTGTTCGGTAATACCATTTTCTCAGAAATGTAGGTTTCTGATCTATTTGCTACCAGTCAGTTATCTATGTTAATAAACCACATCCAATGTTATTTTCTTGACAGTTTTTCAGCCTGTTATTTCCTTGATTTCTTGTTCTCATACCCTTATCTCTCAACTTAATGGTGGCAACCAGAAGACCTTCAAAAACAATACATTTAGGTAGAACAGCTAATTTTTAAAAACTTTTTCTATTAAGGTAAATTGACATACAAATTATATTCATTGCAGGTGTACAACATAATGATTCGACTTAGGGTGTTTCAACTCACGATGGGTTTATTTGGACATAATCTTATCGTGAGTTAAGGAGCATCTGTATTTTAGTTTGGCAGCCCTCCCTCTAATACCAAATTCTAAATTAGCCAGGGTGGACTACACTACTGCAACATTGGCCCAATGTAAAGGCTTGGCCACCGCAGAAACCCCTTTTTTCCTCATGGGACAGTCCAGAGTGGTTGCTCCGGGTGTGGCAGACGATAGAGAGCTTTCCTCTACACAGTCTTCAAGCGCTCAGGCCTCAGCACACAGCTTCCAAGGTCATTCTGGTCATTGTCCTTAGCATCCCACACAATCATAATGAGGAAGGATCAAGCAGGGGTGTTCCTGAGAGTTGCACCGGCCAAGTCTAGCGGTGGCACCTGCCATTTCTGTTCCCATGTCCGTGAAAGAACTTACTCCCAGGACTATCCCTAAATGCACGAGAGCGGAGAGAGAGGGGGAGGGCAGGTTTTGGTAAAGAGCAGGCTGCCCACTGCAAAGCCTAAGTAGGTGGTGCCTTTTTTCTTTCCAGCTACGAGACAAAGGGGAAATCAGACACGTCCAGCAACCACGCGGTGCTGAAGCTGGCCAAAGGAGATGAGGTTTGGCTGAGGATGGGCAATGGCGCCCTTCACGGGGACCACCAACGCTTCTCCACCTTCGCAGGCTTCCTGCTCTTTGAAACTAAGTGAATAGAGGATAGACCAGCTCCACTTTGGGGAAAACTTGTAGCTGAGCTGGTATCGTTAAGATGTGAGGAACATTAGAGTTAAGGGTTCTACATGTTGTATTTTTTTTTAAAAAAATTTATTGGTCACATTGTTAATCATGCTACAGATACGGCAATAATGTGGGATGACTCAGGGGTTCAGAAGAATCAAACACAAAACAGTTTTCCCAAGTGACCTTGTCTAAAACACTCACCACCTTTCTCTCTCTTCCCCAGGCATCTAAAAGAGAGTTCCCCTCTTGGTACAGGTTGGAAAGACTGGTTCCCATCAGAGAGGTCATTTGCAAAGAGTTTTGGCAGCTCTGTTTTTAATTTAATAGCAGCTCTCAGGAACCCCTGCAGCTTTGAGTTCATCATTATAACTTTTCAGCAAATAGGATGCAGTGATTAAGATGGGGCTGAGGCAAGAGCAGGGGCACTTGCTAGGATCGAGGTACCAGAAACATGTGTAAAACCTAGACTGGGAAGTAGCACTTTGATCCAGTGGGTCAACACTCATGAATAAAGTACAGATCTTTTTTCGTCATTCCTGATAGCTCTTTGATAGCAAAAGTATTCACAATGCCCACACATTATTGACTCATCCTTTTTAAAAAACAAAACAAAACAAGGATGTTACTGTAATTAAACCGTAACTTCTAATAGTTTGTATTTTTCAAAATAGAATTTTTTCATGATCCAGAGTTGGGTTGACAAGATCTGGTTTATCAGGTTGCCTCTTTTCCACTGTGTTGCTTAGATTACAATAAATCTTTGTAATGCAGTGTAGGTCCACACTGTACCCATATAATCACCTTTTCTCTAGAAATTACCCTCATGAACTTTACACACACTGACAAGTCATGTTGAAGGAGCTGTAGACTTGGTTATATATAGTCAAACTAATGGATTCAAGATAGGAGACATACACTAAAATCTCTTAGCCTTTTTTTTAAAATAAAAACGCTATGACTTTTTTGATTGCCACGTTTAGCCAATATTCACAGAGCAGCTGTGCCACTTGACTTCTCTAAAAATCTATTTTCCAAGGATTAAATGAGTCACCAAACCAACATTCATGAGGATGCACCATAGACACATCTGAATATAATACCCAAAGATAGAACCTAAAATTGGTCTACTTTGAGCAAAGACATTATCACTAGAATATGTGTTTACCCTGATGTCGAATCACACTTAAAGTGCACTAGAGAGATGCTGTCTGACAGATATCATACAATGAATTCCCTTATAAGTAACGGGCCCTTAATTTATTTTCTGTTACAAATTGGGTTTCCACAGAGGCTTAAACTATGGGCTTCCTTTCTATTGATTACCCCTCTACAGCTGGAGGGGGAGAAAATTCATTAGGGCCGCTCTATTAGCTGACAGTGTATTTCATGCTCAGTCAGCCTTTGACCCTTTTCTTCCCATTTGCAAATATTTTAAAACTCTTCCTGAATCCTCATGTAATGCTACTTAAAATGGAATGGATAGTAGCTAAAATGTGCTTGACTGGAAATGTTTTTGTGATTTTGTATACGTCCCCAATACCTCACCTTTCCCATGGAATGAGGTTGAAGTTTACTATGAGCCAATGTCATAAATGCCCTGTAACAGTGCATTGGCAACAGATATTCAGATGTTGCTGGCTAAGGGAAGTCCATACCTAAAGAACATACAGTAAAAGCCAAGTGCCTGTAGGAAGATACCGGCCTGGCTTTCAGTCAAATCGAGGCAAGAAAAATGTAATATGCGTTATGTGAATCATAAACACACCTTTGTTAAATGTACTGTTTTATAATGTTCCTAATAAAGTTGAATAGTCATACAATTGTAAGTCACCATGATTTGTTAACACAAAGTTAAAATATTTTCATGCAGATGATGTGAAGGGTCGTACAATCACTTCTGTGGGCACAGACCTGGGTCACTTGTCTACTCCAAACTCCACTTTTTAGTTAGTCCATTGTTACAACTTCAACCTTTTTAGGACATAGCTGTTTAGAGGACCCTTTAATGAAATCTGAGTATCTTGAAGGGGAAGGGCTCTTCATCACAACCCAAAGTCAGTCTATGTTGATCCCAAAATTCTAGTTTTCATCTCAGTAGAGACAGACACCTCAGGTTTGGATGTGGCCTGGCAGAAAGCACTTGGGACTTTCAAATAACTCCCGGGTATGAAGAAGAGTGATTAGTAAGGAAGGTAGGAGAAAGTGAGGATAATTATCAATGTTTCCCAATTTTATCGACTTCCAGAATTTGGAAGACTGATTTTACAAATCTTCCTAAAACTGAGGCTCTGTAGAGGAGATGGTAGGCAGGTGCCATAGGGAATGTAAAGGTATCACCTAAACAACCAACTTTTAAATATATATTTTTTATTGATTTCAGAGAGGAAGGGAGAGGGAGAGAGAGATAGAAACATCAATGATGAGGGAGAATCATTGATTGGCTGCCTCCTGTACACCCCATTCTGGGGATTAAGGGAATGGACCATGACCTCCTGGTTCATAGATCGACGCTCAACCACTGAGCCACGACGGCTGGGCTAAGCAACCAACTCTTAAAATCTAAAACCTAAGTGAAGGTAAAGTCCATAAATGAAGCATGTGGGTTTCTGCTCGCTGCAGAAATGCGGTCGGTTCAGTGTAGCTGCTCCACAAAGTGGACAGGCTGATGATTTCCAGTGTCGAAAGGGCTGCATTTGAACTTTAAACAAGTAGATTATATTGAAGGAATATTATTGGGCAAATTGCAAACAAAAGCTGAAGTAAATAATATTCAAGCGAAGAATAGAATAATTTTATATAATAAAAGCCTAATATGCTAAGTGTCCAGTTGTCTGATCGTCCATTCAACCAATCAAAGCATAAAATGCTAATGATATGCTAAGGCTGCTCAACCACTTGCTATGATGTACACTGACCACCAGGGGGCAGACGCTCTGACCGGTAGGTTAGCTTGCTGCTGAGGTCCGGCCAATCAGGACTGAGGGAAACAGGCTGGACACGCCCTGGAGTCCTCCCTCGGTCCCTCCCCAGCTGGCCAACCTCCTGCATCCCCCCCCAACCCCGATTGTGCACTGTGGGGTCCCTTGGCCTGGCCTGTGCCCTCTTGCAATCTGGGACCCCTCGGGGGATGTCGGAGAGCTGGTTTCAGCCCAATCCTGCAGGCCAAGGCCAAGGGACCCCACTGGTGCACAAATTCATGCACCAGGCCTCTAGTCAAATATAAACTGCAAAGGGCATGGCTGGAATTGATAAACATCTACTTTGTGCAAAGATACTGGGCTATTCCAGGAGCTACTCAGCACTTTTTCACCTCCCATGAGTCTTTAACCTGAGAAGAGAAACATTCTGAGATGCCCTAACTGAAATGACAGTGACTGGAGGGTGGGAGGAAGAGGCAAGGGAGGTTCACCGGTGAACAGTCGGGGCTGAAACCAACAGCCTTCCTGAACGCATTGAAACCTTGAATGGACTTCAAGCAGCTATCTGGAAAGAACAGCTGCCCCCAGATACCACAGCATCCTGCTTACACGCGAACTTTCTGGCCTGTTTCCCACACCTGACACAGAAGCATCAAATACTCCTCCTTACAAACGACTCCCCTATCCCAGAACTTTCTAGAACTTTCTTTGATTTACCTCTTCCCTGCTACCCCCTTACCTAGAGACAATGTTAATCCTTTCAAAGCAACTTACATCTTTCTTCCTCAAACGCGTTGTATAACAGAGCCCTGGCGACCCCAGGACGATGGGCACATGTGCCTTCTCCATCCAGCCCGGCTGCTGGTCTAGACTGTGTGACTCAGAACCTGGCCCTTTTCTGGCTGGTAAGTAGTTCAGTAAATCCACTCTTTCAGGAAAACTTTCTGTCTCAAAGTTTTTTGTTAAACAAACCTAATGGAGGAAGATAGGCAAAGGAGAGTAAGTGCCTGGATGACAGCATGTAAAGCGTGTTTTAGGAGCCACAGAAGGCAACGGGCTAGGGGTTGACAGGAGAGAGAAACAACACCCCGCTCAGCATGACACAGCTGTGGAAAAGGCAGTGTTTTATGGCCAGAGACAAGTTCATTATGTTTGGAGTGTTACTTTTAAAAATATCTTTTTGTTCTTTCCCGACTATAAAGCCTACTGCAGAAATTTTATAAAATACATAAAAACATTTAGTATAAAAATCATCACACCAAACATAATACTAGGATTTTGAAGTATTTATGTCATTCTTTTCCTGCACATCTTTATGCTTTTTATTTTTTAGGAACACAGTAATAAAACAAATCATTTGACATTATACTTTTTATATATGTTTATATCTTGCTATGGTTTGCCCTAACATCCTGAGAGCACTCTCAAATGCTATTCTGAAACATTGGATAGAGAGGGACAAGGAAGTGTTAAGTTAGTTAAACACGGAGGCCATGAGACCGAGGTGGCTCTAAGCCTGTGGCATCCTAGGAAGCAAACCAAAATCTAAGCCTGAACTGCCTTTAAGATTACAAAATCCCAACCTGAGAACAGCCAATCACAAGCAGCCAATTATGCTTTAAGCCACAGCCCATCGATAATTTCCTTGTTTTGCTTCCACCTTTTTTTTCTATGGAAGTCTCTCCTCATTTCATGTTGGTAGAGCAGGCCTAACCACTTTCAGTTTGACACTCAGATTGGAATAGACTTTTTCTCTTCTAAATTCTTAAAGCTTTTCATATGCTTCAGTATATCTTTTAAAGAGGCTATTCAAAGATGAAGGCAAAGAGAAGGTGTCTGGGTTAAGGAGCAGGCAACAAAGAGAAATCCACAAGAACCCCCAAATCATTCCAAAGCTGGTTAAGACGATTTCAAGCTTGCCTAAAAGATCTTGATTACCATTGTGCCGATCTGGCCTCCACTTTAATCACCTGCCTCAGCATCTATGAGCCCATACTTCGGAAAGGACTAGGGCAGGTTGATTGTGCTGGCATCCACTTCTGGTTCTATTAAAATTCCAGAACAGTCCAATGACCAAGCTACCTACACACAGGCCATACAGCAGTGGTTCTCAACCTTGCCTGCACATTAGAATCACCTGGGAATCTCTTTAAAATCCTGATTTCTGGGCCTCATCCTCCGGAAATTCTGTTTCTTTGTTATGGGGTGGGGCCACAACATTAGTAACAAAAAAACAGAATTTCCAGAGGATGGGGCCCAGAAATCAGGATTTTAAAAAGATTCCCAGGTGATTCTAATGTGCAGCCAAGGTTGAGAACCACTGACTTAGGAGATCTAGGAACTTGTAGTCTCCTAC